AAAAATTCAGAAAATGGTTTAGATGCTGGAGACAAGACATCGAGAGGGAGATGGGACTCCACGGAGAGTTCAGTGGGGAGCAGTCCTGAATGCTGACATGACAGTAATTGCCTTGCCATATCCCCACGCTGTGTGATTTTTATGTTACAGACAGGGCAGTGAAAGTGCACCGGCATATCATTTTGTCTGTAAGAGAGAAAAAAAAAAGAAAAACAACAACAATATGTAATTTAAATGCAATTGTATAGAATGCAGTCAGTTTATCTAACAATCAGATTGTACATATTAATAAAAATGCCCAAGCCATCCTCAATAATGAAAGCAAAATGGTGTGGATCACAAGAGCTGTCAAGAAATGTGGTGAACAAGAAAAAAAATATTTAACAAAAACACACTTTTTTATCTTGCTGATGAATGCACTGAACTGTACAATATGAAAAGCAATTTTTAAGTCAACAAAGAGACTGCAAAAGTGCTGAAAAGAAGTGCATATTTATAACTATGATGTATATTTGATACCAACTTACCTTTGAAAGGCAAAGCATTTTTAATGTGTTCATTTATATGCTGCTCAATCTTTGCCCTGACAGTAGGGCTGAGAGTGGGGCACAGAGGGCAGTGAAAGGGTATTCTGCAACACGTGCATTCCTGCAATTCTGGCTTGGTGGCAGAATTCCAAATTGATATGTGCATCTAAAACAGATAGAAAAACAGATAAACACCATATACACATTTAAGTTCAGGTTTTAGCAGAAATAACACGTTACAGTTAGCATGTAAGAGATTTGGGGAGAAAATTCTTTACAAAAACCTAATTTACAAGACACTTTTATTTGTGACATACGTATCTATTGACATATGACAGACAATTTAACAAAGGCTAACTAAAATCTGGGCAATAAAAAAGCAGAACAGAATGGAATAGAGAATATTAGTATTTATAAATATATAAATCTCTTTGTGACAAACTTTACAATGTTGATGCAGGGGGAATGAGAGACATGAAGACATGAATAAAGCGCAATATGCAGTAAATGGAATGTGCATTGATGTCAGATAGTGAAAAGCATTGAAGTCAATTTGTTCAATAACAAAGCAAAAATCAAATACGTTTGAAAGGGACCACTAAATGCTAACCAGAGGTGTCAAAAGTACACACATTCCTTACTAAAGTTTAGATACCTCGGGGGTATGACAGTTGCCAATGTAATCAGTGTAAGCAAAGTAGATGATTCCTAGAATTATATAATTCTTAACGGCGAATTTATACACGGATGACTCTGTACACACCTTTACGATCAATTTGCAAGGTTAATGATCCATGCAGGAACGAGACAAAAAAAAA